CCTTGACGCGGTGGAACGGCATACGTGCAAAAAACAAATGCATAACAAAGAGAAATATCTTCTTTACTTACGTGTAATTTAATATTATCCTGATCAATCAGCTGCGCGTGCGAAAGGTTGCGAAAATCAAGAATAAAATACCTTTAATATGTCTGTGCTAGCAAAACTGAAGCTTATGCTGACTTGTTCGAGACTAGCATAACTCAGATATGCAATTCTGAGTCGATCCAAAGTCTAGAAGTCGAGATTAATGACATAGACTGCGAACGCGAAGGGCCGCGGTCAAGAGTCAAGTGCCCTTTAGATTCTTGTGCTGGCGAAACTGACACTTGTTCTGACTTGTGCTAGCCTAGCACAACTCAGATATGCAATTCAGAGTCGATGCAAAGTCTAGAAATAGTAATTAATGACATAGACTGCGAGCGCGAAGGGCCGCGGTCAAGAGTAAAGTGCCCTTTAGAGTTTTGTGCTGGCGAAACTGAAACTTGTGCTGACTTGTGTTAGGCTAGCACAACTCAGATATATAATTGTATATCGTTTGGTTGACTTATACGAGTGTAAATCTTACTTTTCTTATTTTTTGCCTAAAATAGTTCTTTTTTTACTTCTTTCATGATTATTTTTCGAAGATACTACTTTAGCACAATGTTAACACAACTTAGCACAACCTAGCACAATAAAAAAAATTTCGAAAATCAAAAAGTGGGGGACTACCAAAAAACGGTTTTTTCCATTTTTCTCTCTCTCTCTCTCTCTCTCTCTCTCTCTTGCTCATTTTTATTATTAAAAAATTATAATGCGAGCACAATGTAGCACAAACCTAGGACAAATCAGTACAAGTCAAAATTATTAAATTCGAAAAGTGGAGGGCTAACTTCATACAGGTGAGAAGTAAATTTAAAGGTTAATCCGAAAAAATGTACTTTCTTTGAAAAAAAAAGTTAAATTTTTAGGACATGAAATTTCAGCGCAAAGTATTATTGCAGATTCAGAAAAGATTAAGGCTGTAAAAAAATGGCCGGTTCCCCGAAATAAAAAACAAATTCGCAGTTTTCTCAATTTTGTTCTTGTTATCGTAGATTTGTAAAAGGATTTTCTATTATTGCAAAACTTTTGTATGTTTTTACAGAAAATCAAACAAAATTTATATGGACTAGTCAATGTGTAGAAGCCTTCAAAAGATTGAAGAAAACTTTAATTTTCACAGTCTATTGTCTCTTCTGACGGATCAAGAATTATTTATTTTAGACACGGATGCTTCGAATCATGAAATTAGTGCTTTCTCAAGTTCAGGATAGAATGAAGAGAATGATAGCTTATTTTAGCCATGTTTTGAGTAAATCAGAAAGAAATTATTGTGTTACACTATTAGACTACTTATAGAGAATTTTTGATTATAATAGATTCGTTGAAATCTTTTCACTATTATCTATATGGACATAAATTTAAAATTAGGACTGATCATGTTTCTCTTCAATGGTTAATATCTTTTTAAAGAATTGGAGGGATAATTAGCATTCGAGAGATTACAGCAATATGATTTCGAGTTTCGATATCAAAAATGGAATTTATATAAAAATGCTGACAATTTGTCAAGACAATCTTGTTTAAAAAATCCCTGCAATTATTGTAAAAAAGTTGAAATTAGAGAAACAGTAAATGAAAAAAAAAAGCTAATTGAACAAATAGTTCTAGGAGAAAGCAATTTTGCAGATTGGAAAAGAGATCAAATGGGGATCCTTCGATTTCGATTATTTTTAAGGGGAAAGAAGTTGGAAGATGACCTTCCTTTGTGGCAAGAAATTTCAGATAAAGACATTTCCACAAAAATGTATTGGAGACAATAGGATGAGACATGTATTGGGCTGTATTGCTAATTAAAAATAAAATGATATAAAAAATAGAAATCGCCGAATTTAGAAACAGAGATTTTACAGCTTATTGTTCCGAAAACAAGAATTATTCAAATTCTTCAAGTTTCTTAAAATGATTCTTCTTCTAGTGGATATTTTGGGATAAATAAAACTTGGTCGAAAATTCGTAAACGATTTTATTGAGCTACATGTAAAAAGGATGTGGAAAATTTGTGTAAATCTTGTGAAATTTGTATTGGAAAAAGGGCTCTCTGAGAAGGCAAAATCGCCTTTATAAATTTATAATGTTGGTGTATTATTTAAAAGGGTTCCAATGGACATTCTTGGCCCGCTTCCAACTACTTTTGTTAAAAATAAATATTTGTCAGTTGTAACAGATTGTTTTTGAAAATAAGTAGTAGCAGTTCCGTTGAAGAATATTAGGGCAATAACGGTAGCGGTTTTATAAGTCAAATTATTTCTCGATATCGTGTTTCTTTAGAATATCAAAATCGTTTTAAGAATTATCTGTAAGAAATAAAGAAAACGAGGACAACTACTTTAGAAGACTACGTCTTCAGTCTGATAGACAAGAGTGAAAGGATAACAACGCATAATATTAAATTATTTAACAAAATTTATTTTAAAAAATTAGAAAAATTTGGATCGTTGGATTACCATGTATTTATTTGCGTACCGATTTTCTAAATATAAAATCATTGGGTTTACTCCTTCAGAATTATATTGTGCACGAGATTTAAGATTAAAATTGCCTTTAGATTTATTGTGTGGAATATCTCCTGAAAATAGGAACACTAATGTTGGAAATTATATGGTTAATTTACGAAAAAAATTAGGTGGCATTTATAATTTTACAAGACGATAAAAATAAAATCAGAAAAAATAAAAATGTATTATAATTAAAAACATAGAGACGTATATTTCGCGATTGGACAAAAAGTTTAGTTATATAAACCTCAACGAATTTAAAGGAAAGCTACAAAATTGCAAAATCATTGGAAAGATCCGTATGAAATAAAAAGAAAATTGAGTGTCGTTTATGTGTTCAAAAATTTCAAAGACAAAGAAAAAAATAGTGCATACAAATAGATTAGCATCGCTTTATGAAAGAAGAATGAATGAAGTTTAATGAAGAGCTCATAGAGTTTGGAGTAATAGCTCATATTAGAAATTATCTTGGTGCGCAGGTTTCTGTATCGAAGATGAATGTCAATAGAAAGTCGACTTATAAAAGACCTCTTCTTTTTAATTGTCGGGGCGACAATTTTTTAAAGCGGGGACACTGTTGCACTTTCGGAGAGGAACGATGCATGATACGATTCATGGAACGATAAATCGATTCAAGTGACGTCAAATTTTTAAAGAACGATCAGTTGTTCTCCCGTGACAACGTGTCAACAGAGAGAAACAAGAGAGTCTGATAGATTTTCCTTCAAGACTGATATATGATGTTAGAAAGCGCGAGATTTGTAATCAAATCGAGAAACGGATGTGAATTTTGCAAATAGCTATTAAACGTTAGGTTTTACTTTAACGAAATATTCCTTTTCACCCTGTCGCGAAGACGAATAAGCGCAACAATATATATATAGTATTATATATTCTCCTCTTCTCAAGTAAGCATCTGCGTATGCTTGGCGTATGTGAAATCGAAAGGAAGTGATAGATACGTAATATAACCGATACATAGTACTTTCAACAAATCAATCACTATCTCTTCACATGCGCGACGCGTACACATGATTCAGTACATAGTTTTCGGAACTATATAATTTACCCAAATTAACAGTTTAGTTAATATAGAAGTCTGTACACATCGAGTACACAAATCTAGAATATTCATTGAGCGCTCAGCAAATGATAATAATATTGAATGCGTGCTTTAATGTGCATTTGTATTGTATTATATTCCCAGACAGCACACAATATTCTATGAATATCCTATGGACATTCTTAGAATTAGACGTTTTTTGGACGTCTTTAGGATGTCTTTGGGAAATTTGTATTATTGGGGTTAAAATGTATCGAGAAAAAATTGTCAACCTTTATATCGGTGATTATATATAAGGGGACAACAGCACAATCGTTTATGTAACGTCTAATGCGTGGACGTCTAACACGTGAAACATTGACGTCATAATAACATATTAACATTGACGTTTGATATGTGAAATATCACTAACGCGATCACTAACACTATCGTACAGGTTATTCACAGACAAATGTTTCTTCAAACAGAACTTGTAATTGGTTGACTTTAAACTCTTGGATTTTAAAAACTATTGCTTGAAATAAAAGATGATAGAAAATTATTATTTATATTTCGGATCTGATTGCTTAAATAATATTAGTCGTAAATTTCTAAAAACATTGTACAAATAAAAATTATACAAGGTGTCTCAAAAATATCGTACAATATTTTAATAATATATTTCGAAGCTTAATTAAAATAAAAAACTTTAATAAAAATGTTAAAATCGCAATAGTTTTTAAGTTATAAGTTCGAATTAAAATTTGCCAATAATACCTTACTATATTTAAATTTCACGTATTTACACGTGATATAACTACGTATAGTACAACGTATACCAATTTGTGATCTATTATTGATTTGCCCAAGTCAATATCGATTTTTATAACACAGCAGATGTTTTTTTTATTTCTTAAAATATGAATATCACTACAATAATTGACAATTTTTACTATAAATTGTAATCGTTACACAAAATATTAAATTTTTAATTTTTATTTTAATTTTGTTTTAATTTTAATTGTTAAATTTCTTACGTTTAGAATGTAACAAATAGATTATATTTCGTAAGAATTATAAAGACACTGCTGTTAAAAAAAAGTCCGATTCATATTATGTACGCCAAATACTATTATTATATATTGTACATACAGCAATACAGAACATGGAGCAGCAAGATATAGTTTTTTGAGCATCTGAAAACAACTCAAGTGTAATAAGAACACTTTGCATTAACAATGCATATTAACAAAAAGATAAGCTTTCTAGACATATTTTATATTGGAGAAACGTTAGTAAAAGTGCAGAAGAATAAAAAGAAAAATTAGCGATGTGACGTGATATGATTCCCTGCGTACCTGGTTGGGCCTCCTCACCTGCGTCAGAGCCTCCATCCTCTGCTTCAATTGTTCTTCCATTTCTGGTAACTTAGCATATTGAGCTAATTTCTGTTCCGCAAGTTCTAATTTCTCCTGTATAGCCGCGATTTTTTCCTCTTGAAGCTTGTAATATATATTTTAATTAATAATAATTTAAAAAGACAGAATATTTTTTACAATTACAATGTCCTACAAGAACACTTTCCGATTTTACATATTTTTTTAACAAATTGTGTAAAAAGAATGCGAATAATCTTTGCAATATTTAATGTAGCCAAATAATTTATTCTATTTAACATTTTCACAGCCAATATCACACATGGCAGCAATAAATTTTCTTTTGTATACAAAAAAATAAATCTGTTTTATACAATTACATAAAAATAAATACAATGTGGTCTGTAAAATAAATTCCTCAAATAAACTGTAATGGTGAACGTGTTAATAAATTTTAATACGTGTGCTTTTATTTGCATGTCATAAAGCAAATATCTTGGGGTTTGGTCCATATTCACCTTAAGAACATTCTACACAATAAAGATATAACGTAAATATAATACCTTCAGTTGAGCTTTCTTATGTTGTAATTCTTGTTCTAATTTCTCATTAAGATCGTGAAGACTAGTGGATTCTCGTTGAGCATTAAGATATCGTTTTTCTAAAGTTGCTATTCGTTCCTCTTGGTCCTTTTTTTGTGCCGCGTTCTCTCGCAGATCTCTTTGTAATTTGACATTCGTTTCTTGAGTTTTCAGAAGATCCTTCTGCGTTTTAGATAACGTTTCCTCCAACTCGGTAACTCGCCCGCTTAGTTCAGCTACTCGTCGTTGCCACGTACTTAATTCTGAACTCTAAAATAATATTTGTAATATATTATGTCATAATGTTAGTTGTATCAAAAGAACCAACAAACTACTTGTACACTTTAAAATAATCAAGAGGTATAAACATTATATATAATTTAAATACACAGTTCTTATTGTAATCTTATGATAATTTTACGTCTATATGCCGCTAAGACTAATTCAGAAAAGTTGCAATATGCTATTATTCGTATAAATAGATATGTCCATCGTTTTCAATATCTGTTTTGTATTTATAAAAATAAAAAAAAAATATATATATATACAGGGTGTCCCGCATAAGACATGCCAAAAGAAAAATATAAGTAGAACAGATAAAACTGAACAAAAATTGTAGAGGTCATTTTTCAAACAACCACGTAAAATTTCGAGATATTAATAAAAATAGTTGGACAAATTAGAGCGCGCGACGCGACGGGCGGGACATACGGCTCGCCGCGGCCGGCGAAGAAAATGGATGATTGTTCGCGGGTCAATTTCATAGGCCAGAGAGGTGGGCCGTTTGCTAGCATATGGAAATGGAAAGCTCCGTATATGCGTCCATGTACGTGTGCGCTCTGAACGTCGGGCGACGAGTAACA